AAGTAGAAAATGAAGTCAAACTAATTTTTAAATCTACCCATGTGTTGAAAACAACCTATCTTAGTTATTCGTTGACACCTGTGCTCATGCTCATGGCTTTGATTTGATATGATGATTTACACAGTGTACATGCAATTACATCGTAAACAGAAACCCAAGTAGCTAAATATATACTTTTGAGCTAAATCACATTCTCTGTGTTTAAAGTAAATACCTCTAATTTTCATAATGTTCAGCAAAGTACACAGAACCAACCAGACACCGAGACAGCAGAACAATCTTAAGAACTGGGGCCCAGATACCAAGCCACAGTCACTGCCCCTGATTCTGTTCTCTCTGCCTACTGTTTCTTGTTTTAGATGACAAGAGTGTCGTGCTAGTTGGATGCCATCCGACTGATCTGCATTTGACATTTACCTTATTTTTCTATGTCAATACACAAGAATTTCATGAAAATGTTCCTAACAGTTGATAACAGTTTCACAAGGTACTTACTTTGTTCCACAGAACACTCTAAACTCTTCACATGAATTAATTCAGTTTTTACAACAACTTTGTTGGGTGGGTCTGTGATTAGTGATATTGCTACATAAAATAATCTACATTTAAAATAAAATGAAGATAAACCATTGTCTAAAGTCTTCCTGTGACCTCACACTCCATGATGTTGAGACTGAAAAAACAACACCCTTCTTCTTGCTGTCATTGGAAAGCAGGTGTTACAACTGAAACTTCTGACTTGTTATAATGTGTTGTCTCCTAATTCACACTTAGAGATTTATATAAAACGATGGCTGTTTCTTATTCAATTCTGTGTAATATATAATAATTGTATGCATGTCTTGTTAGAAGACATACAGTTATAACTAATCTACTTGGTGAAATAACTCAGTTGCTGAGTGACCGACAGAAAACTCATTTTGTGAAAATAAAAACATGACAGAAAATACCAAAATAATGAATGTTCATATGTTTTCTGTTTACATATGAACTTATGTCCATATATTTTCTGTCTACATAAACTTCCTAAAGAAGAAATCATAATTTTTAATACTACCCCTTTGATGGGATAACTTAAATAATTGAGCCCCATCTATTAAAGTGACTTTTAGCAATCTTCTAACAGTTACTCAGAAACAGTTACACATATGATGTCAAAAGTCACACGTGATGAAATGTCACTTCACACCTCAGCAATCCCAGGTACCTTTTGCTTCCAAGTTGGAAGGTCAAGTTCATCTGAAAGGATTGCGTGGATTTTGCTTTGGTACAATTGCACAGTCAACACATAAAGCTTTGAACTGTCATTGCCGTTGGTCACAGCGAAAATGTGATCTACAAAGGTTTCCCAAAAAATGGCACTTTAAAGAGTACTACTGGAAATAGGTACTTAGGGCTGGAATTGCAGCCTCAGGAGCAAACACATTCTCTTTCATACACTCCTGTTAAAGACACTTCTGTGATCCATTTACACAAAATGATACAATTCTTTAAAAGTGTGTGCATCAGAATCACTGTGTGAAGGACTTGGGTGGGGAAACTCAGTACCTCACATCATTTCATTGTAGTTAAAGTGAGACTCCTTCCTCTATTAAATGCATTTCCTTAAAAGTATCTTTGTGCATAAATGAGTTTGTTGGTGTCCTCTCTTCCTTGGGGATACACAACAACTTCATCCTGAGGTTGGAATAAGGCACAGAAGAGATGGGAGCCTTGTGCATTCATGGTGTACAGTGTCATCTGGAAACAGATTCCCACAGAAGCATGTGGTACAGCTGCTGATCAAGGGCCCAGAGGAGACCTCACAGGTGACTCCTACTGGGAGGACAATAACCAACCATCTGCTCAAAGTTGTTCCTGATGGGAAACTATCAGAAGTTGGTAGACCTTCACTCCTCCCCTGCTATTCCTTGCTCCTTCTCAAGTCACTTCAAAGGTCTCTTTCCAAAGGCATCAGGAGCATGAACACAGCATAAAAGAACCGAGTTTCAGCAGCTAATGCACAAGCCTCCTCCAGCACTCCATGATTCCTTTTCAGGAAGAACTTCTAAAGAACTGTTCTCTCCCCACCATTCTTTCAGTCCCTACACTTCTTTCTGAAGTGTAGGCATTGCCTTGGAATAGCAATTCAATCCTCCTGCAGAATAAAACTATTTGAAAAGTACAACCATTCTATTCCAAAGCTCTTTAACCTTCTCATACATTTGTGTTCTTTGACCACGTGCATTTGTGCACACATTAAATGGATCTTTGTATGAGCTGCATTTTCAAACCATTAGCTTGACTATATTTTTGTATTTCTATGTGCTTTCTAAACAACAGAGACAATATGCCAGGAAATTAAGGTCTTTTTTTTTTAAGGCTCCATGGGGCTAACTCGGAAAATGCTTGTCAGAATGAAGGTGAACATTCGTGTTTCTTTCAGAACAAATGAAGTAAGTCTAAGCCAGGAGTGCTGATATTGTTCACGCTGATGGAATTATGGGATGTCTGTTTGATGTCTATAGGGTCGCTAGTTGTAATGGTAAGGGGGAGAGCAAACAGAACAGACAGCTACCAATCCTTCCTATTTAAAAGGCTGAATTATCTGAGAATTGCCACCCTGGTAGCTAGAACACTACCATAAAGCACCTGTCTTCAACTGACCACAGCATCTGTTTCAAAGCAGTCATTCTTTTCCTTCCAGAAAGAGGTGAACACCAGGCCTATGGCAGAAAAGGCAAGCAGTTCTGAGGAGCTCTACTCAGAGAGACACACAGCAGGGCAAATGTACTTCCACATCAAGAGTTTCAGCTCCACATTCCCCACACTTTAGAAGGAACTTTAGAGTCAACAAGTGGCAATTGTCACCCTCTGTGGATTTAGCCAACACAATGTAAGCATGTGAAATGCAATTGCTTCATATAAAGAACCACTAGGTAAGTTAGCTAACAGAAAAACCAGTCACAGGTGACCGTGGCTGAACCACACTGTGTAGCTCAACAATACAGCAGGTCCATCCTGACCAATGTGACGGTCTTCACAGAGCTTTGCAGTCTGGATTTTAACCTTTGTGTGTACCCCATGACAATGAGAACTGTTGAATACTGGAAGGAGAACAGCTTTCTGTGAGAGTTCTCTAAAACCCATTCTCTTCTGGCAAGTGGCACACTGATAGTGTCACATTCATTTTCAAATATGTTCACTATCAGAAGATGACCTGGGGATCTAGTGCAACAAAATGGCCCAGAGCAATTATGTAAATGGATTACTAATTGTAGAAATTCACTTTTCAATTCCATCTTGCATTTTTTTTGTAAAATTTAAATATCAATACTATCTAATTTCAATTAAGAATAACAATATTTTATAATAAATGTGTTGACCTTCAGTCTTAATGATATCTACAGAAATTAATACTTTCCTAGATAGGGAAGTTGGTGGCTACTGCATTAAGGAACTAGAACAAGCTTTGGGTGGAGACTATAGAGCTTGCTTACCCGAATGGCAGCTGCTTTAAAAAGCAAATGGACTATGGGAACTCAAGAGATGCTTAACTGTCTTTCACACCACTGTAGGTTGGGTTTCCCTTGTTCCACCATTTACTGTTTAATGAGTATGTTGACTGGCATCTACTTAAGCACAAATTTTAGAAATGCCCCTTCTTCAAAAGAATGCACAAATGATTTTAAAGTAGAAGGTGAGAGTAAATGGCAAGGACCCGAGGACTAACTGTACTAGTCTGTTGGTGCTTATCAGTGTTCAAAGGAGCTCATTATTTAGAGGAATCTTATTAATAATGGGAAGCAAAGTGGATTTCTTTAAAAACCACGAGAATATTATAAATTGAAGTGACAAGTAAATCTTTAGAAAAAATAAAACTCAAGTTTGATTTCAGTCTTGTAAAGTCACTTGGGTTGTGCTCAAGGAAAGATCAAGTTTATCAATTTTTGGACCTAAATGAAGCAGTTTCTGCATGGAAAGGAAAGTTAGGTTATGCAGGCCTGAAAGAAACATGTACAAGAAACAGGAGCATGAATTCATCATCTTGCTTCTAAGAGCCTGTGAGCCTGCTTCATCCTTTCTCTCTGAATCTTGTACAGTTGTGTGTCTCTCCTTTATTTTTGGTAAGTTATACAATCAGATAGTGTCTCCATTCATTCGGATTTGAAAGAACCCACACCCTGTGTGTGTTATTTTATTTCACAGAGGCCAAGGGAAAGGGGCTGCTGCCAGTAGGGTGCTCAAGGCATGCAGAATAAATTCAGTCCCGGGCACTGAAACAGGCCACCCTTGTGCTGTGCTTGTGGGAGAAGAAAGCAAACCCATCACCAACTTTGAGACTCGATCCTCAGCAGCAATCACAAAGCACTTCTCAGTCAGTGCGTTTGAAATCTCCACTAAAAATAGGTTCTCTGTACTGGGGCTGAAATTCTCATCTGCGGCCAGTGATGGAGCACAGTGCCCGATTGTTCCCAGCTAGGTTCTTTTCTGCTTGGGTACTATCTTGTAACTTTAAACACGACCAAAGGAAGTCACCTGCCACTAAGCCCACTCAAACATCAGCCAGGCCATCGGAGGAGTTTGGAGACTACTGCATAAGTCTTAGCACCTTCTGTTTTCTCTGGCTCCCTGGCCCTTGGAATTCACTCCGCGGGGTACCGAGTTTCCTAATTACTAGCAGAGGTCTAATGCAAACATGCACTCTCAAGGAATAGTCCCTTCTCTCCCCACTTCCTCTTTATGATGTCCTACTTCAGCATGTTCACTGTTCCTGACTACCGGGCTCCGGGGTGGGGGTGGGGGATGTCTTCGTCTTGCTCTGAAGGGAAGCTCTTGATCCCTGAAGGGACGCAATCCTAAGACTTTCTCCAGGGGGGCTGGAGGAACTGAAGAAGAGCTCTGCTCTCTCCAAAGATTCTGAACCTTAATCACTCAGCTAGCATCTAGATTAGGTGGGAGGTGCCTCTGCCCTGACCAGCGCAGCCTCCTGGCTTGGGGCCTCACGCTTCTGGACTCACCTGGTGCTGAAGACAAGTGCAGGCAGCAGGGGCAGCAGGTAGTGTGCAGCGTTGAATTTCATGTCGCCGCCCTCTGGGGTACTCCTTCACTCTCTCCTGGTCTTCTGCCTCCTCTGGTCTGGTCGGTCGCCGCTCAACGTCCTCCTCTCTTCCCAGGAAGCCCTCTCCAGAGACCCACAAACACACAGAGGCTTTGTCAAGGCAAGGACCAGAGCGCGAGTATCTTCAGGAGTGATGTCACCCGCGGGCCCTGCCGGGATGGTCCAGCGCTGGGCTCAGCGCGCACAGGGCGGCCGTAGCCGCGGGAGGGGGAAAGGACCCGCGTCCAGGTCGCTGCCCTGGTAGCCAGCTGCACTTGGTCACTCCCGTGCGCACTGAAGCAGATCTCCTCTTCCCCGCTCCTACTGAAGACAGGAGGGGAGGGCGGTGGCAAGGACCAACCTCCTTCTCCAGTAATTGAGCTGGCGTGCTCCGCAGGGTGAGAGACAATTCGCTGGGAAGGACTCCAGACTCTTTAGGGTCCGGAGCAGACGTCTCTCACCAGCTTGCACTGCTTTTGCAGAGATGTTGCTTGGAGAGTAAGCTTAAAATACTGCTCTGATTAGATGCATAATGGTTTGCATGCTGCGGATGGAGTGGAGCAGCAGCCAGTGCAGACCCAGATGAGGTTAGGAGGTCTCTATCATGGAAAGGGTCCTGGACCAACACGAAGTTCGCGGATCTTGGTTCTAGTGCGTCAGGGTCCTCTCTCTTCTGGTCTCTGCGCCTGTCAGCTGCTCAGGAGTGTACAGCTGGCTGCTGGAGTTCATACACCTTCAAGGATCTTTTTCCTGTGGGCAAACTCCTCAGCAGGACCTCAGAGACAATTGTCATTAACTCAATGATAGGGGGAGGGGGCAGAGGACTCTAGATGCCACTGTGTTTTGTGAAGAAGTTTCTAAACTTTGTATTCCAAGCATCCAACGTTTAACAAGCTTTATTTAGGAATTTTAATCAGAAGAAAAGGAAACAGCACAACTTTAATGCAATCTACCATTTTGCAAAATCCGTTTTAAAAGAAAGGCCGACTTCACCTACAGAGATTTGAAACTCCAGGATCTTCACATCATAGGATCTCTCTCTCTCTCTCTCTCTCTCTCTCTCTCTCTCTCTCTCTCTCTCTCTCTCTCTCTCTCTCTCTCTCTGTGTGTGTGTGTGTGTTAGACGAAAATGGATATGACATTCCTCTCAAGAACCAATGTACTGAAGTAGACACTACAGTTTTCCTACCATAGATGAGAGGAAAACAAGGACCACCAGTATCTTTGCAGGACTTTTGTTTTCTAAACAAAAAGCTAGTTATCCTAAGTCTTAAGTCAACCTTGCTGCTGCTGTGAATGCCACACCTGAAGTTGATCTATATTAAAGAATCAAGCCTATGCAAGACTCAAAGGATGAAGGGCAGCAGGTGCTGTCCCGACTGCTCAGCTGTTAGACCATGTTCTGTTCAGCAAGCCATTTATAAGGAAAATTTCAAAAAACAATCTGCTATAAACCCAGTATTGAAGAAGTATTTGATGATAAAATAATGCATTTATCCCCAGACTCTATAAAGGTGGAAAAGCAGTGCATTTCCTTAGAATTTACCATTTTGTTCCAGTTTTCTTACTGATGAGGCTAAACTTAAAGGTGCACTTACTGAAGAACTTTGTTGTGAGACTCTCAAGCCATTAAAACAGGACTATTAATATTTTCAGTGAATGCCAACCCTTTTGGCAGTAGTAACATCTACAATAATTATAGCTATAGTCAGACACAAAGTAGCTCCCTCCTGTATTGTATTTTAGAAGAAAAGAAAAGAAAACCACCACCACATCAACAGCCCTATGGAAATTTAAAGCTCGGATTTCAAGGGTGAAAGAGACCAGTGGATATTTGTTTTTTCCTGCTATGTAGCCTAGGTAATCCTCAAATTTGCAGCAATACTCCTGTCTCAGACTCTTGAGTTCTGTCCTGCTTATTTTTAAAAGTGACTATTAAGGTGTGTATTAACAAGGGTATACTACTTCGTAATAATAACAAAAATGTGTATAGCAAGAAATAAGTCATTTGAAGGATGCAATTCTGCTTATAGAACAAGTTTGCATTAACTATTTTAATGTCTCCACCACATGAACCCAGTGTGGTCATTCCCAGTGTTCGCCTCTTCTACAGTTGTATGATTCAGAGTGGTCAAGTACCTGTCATCAGTCACTAGTAATTTCTCCAAAGCAGTAGCTGTTCAAATTCTTTTGACATCACTCCATGATTTATATGTTCGTGAGGAAAAATATTTTGTGGTACCATAATGTAAGTCTCCAACATAAATTTTATTACTTTACCACTAGACATGAAACATGAAACAACAAGGGGAATTTTTCGGATTATCCACTAAGGAAGTGAAGAGTCAGAATAATGCTTGGACTGGACCTCCAAGCCCTGCTATACTCTTTATTGGACACCTATAAAAGTCTATTAAAGGGCATTAAAGCATCAAGGAGCCCTTGGCTGAAGGTGATCCTGAGATTTGGGAAACTCTTGTAGGATTAGATGTTTCAAAATCTACATTCAGCCAGATGGTGGTAGTGCATGCCTTTAATCCCAGCACTAGGGAGACAGGCAGGTGGATTTCTGTGAGTTCAAGGCCAGCCTGGTCTATGAAGTGAGTTCTAGAATAGTCAGGGCTACATAAAGAGTCCATGTCTCAATAAACCAAAAATAAAAAAAGAAGAAAAGAAAAGGAAAGGAAAGTATCTACATTCAAAAATAGACATCTTTTAGCAGATTTGGCCCCTGACATGCCTCCTTGGGAAATCATAGGATTTCAGAAAGAAAATTCAGCTCTAAAGTTGATACTCTGGCTTCAGAGAGACAATGTGATTTCTGAAGACACAGTGGTGAGAACAACTTCACTGAGACCATCTTCCTTTAGGAAAAATCTTCACAACATCTATACCCAGGCCCAAAGAAAATGGCAATAAAGCCACATGGGCTGCACTTTCTATTAGGTGCTGAAATTGGGAAACCCTGGGGCTCTTGTTTTGAATAGCTTTATTGAGATATAATTATGGCATGAGAAATCACTATAAAGTGTATAATTCAGGGTTTTAAATATTTTTACTACACAATAAAAATCAGCACCATTATAAAACGTTAGAACATTTTTTTAACCAGCCACAAAAGCAACCATAAACCCATTAGAATTCACTCACTGCTGCTCCCCTTATCTCTAACCCCATCTTTGGGAAGTCACATCCCTATGTCTGTCTCTATGACTTCACAGAGCTCTTAACAATTCAGATTGACCAGCACTGTTAAGTCTTATGGGATTTACCCCTTTCACATTTATGGTTCAACATTCATTATTCATGGCATGGCTTACATCAGTACTTCATTCCTTTCTTTGGCTGAACAATGTTCTGCTGCATAGACATACCACATTTGGTTTGTTAACTCATTAAGTGACGAACATTAATCTCTTTAATATGTCATAAATGATTCTACCAAAATATATATAAGAAGTTTTATTTGTAAACATAAATTTTATGTTATATTGGGCATATAGCTGGGTGATCTGCCAATCCTATGTTTAATATTTTGAGAAACTGTCAAATTGCTTTCCAAAATACCAAAAGTAATACATGAAGATGCCAATTTCTTTACTTCCTTTTGTTATTATAAATGTCCTAGGCATTGTGCCATAGTATCTCATGGTGACATAATTATCCATAGTAAGCATCATGTTGCATAGTAAATATCTTTCCATATGCTTAATGGTCATTCATGCATATTTTTGGAGATGAAATTATTTATAATATATAATTATATTATTGGAGATCTACTTATTTATATTTTGGTTCATTGGTTTATTTGAGTCTTATTTTGAGTTTTAAGAGTTCTGTATTTGCTTTGAGTTCTATCTCCCTGGGGACAAATGGTTTGCAAATCTTTCCCAGTAAGTAGGTGGCTTTATACCTTCCAGATAGTTTCATTTGGAGCACAAAGGTTCCTTGTGTGGCTTTTTTATCTTTTCTTTTGCTTGTCATATAGCCAAGGATGACCTTGAACTCCTGACCCTGACTCTACCACCCAAATACTGTGATTACAGGTGTGTGCCTTCCTGCTTTGCTAGGTTCCTACTTTTGATGAAGCCAAGCTTATCTATTTTTATGTTACTTATGCTTTCAGTATTATATATGTTTATTTATTTTGCTTTACAAAATGCGGTAGCAGTCATATCTGTGCTTTTTCTGAGTATTATGATGTTTTAAGCTCTGAAAAGTAGGCTCATGTAGGTGTGGTGTCCTGGGCCTTTAATTGTAGCTCAAGAGACTGAGGTAGAGGGATAATAAGTTTGAAACCAATGTGGAAAACAGTAGGATTTTGTCTCTAAACAAACTACAAAAGGGCTAGGGGTGCAGCTCAGTTTAGAGTGCTGCCCGGGCATGTGTGAGGCCCAGGTTTCATGCTACACCCCATACTTTAACCCTAATCCCTTTAGAGTCAACTTTTACAGGTTTATAGGAGTGGGCAAGTTCATTTCATAGTACACGGCTATCAGTGGTCCAACATTCATTTGTTGAAAGGGTTATTCTTTTTCCAGTTTAATTGCTGTGTTATTTCTTCTCTCTCACATTAGTAACTTTATATTCCCTCAGTTTTAGATTAGATGCAAGGTTTCCACATTGTAAACTTAGCAACCCCTTGCATTTCAGTTTTAACCTCCTTGTTTGAAATCCTGTGGTTTTGTTCCTGAATTGGACATGCTGCTTTTTATGGTTTTTATTCTATACAGTATGGTTATGGATCTGAACTTATCTTCAGCATGGAGTTCTTCACTGAACTCATAAACGTATTTCCCGGCACATCTTGAGCTTAATCGAAAAACATAGAAACCATTCATGACCCTTCATCCGTCACTGAATATTTTCTAATATTTCCTTAACTCAGTTCTCCTAAGTTCTAAACCTGAGATTCAGACCTCCTTCTGCTTCTGTCTCTTGGGTAAGTGATCACCTTGTTATACAGTTTTTATGCATATTCATTTATGCCACTCATCTAGTCAATAGAGCTCTGTCCCTGGGTTCTCCATCTCTTGATTCACAAACAAGCCTCTGACCTTCAAGGTGATTCTCTTGTTGAAGCTCACTCAGCGGAAGACATCTGAGTAGTCATGAGGCCTCTCAGCCATTACCCTCAAATATTGGATTCCATGTATGAAACTTTTCTTTTCATTTTTGGTTCCATGTTGTTTCATCTTAAAGAATGATTTCCCCTGATACATCTGTAGAATTCCTCATGATAATCTGTTTCTCTCTCTCTCTCTCCCCCTCCTCTCCTCTCTTTTCCTTTTTCTCTCCATAACTGAGGAGCAAAGACAATCATATCATATCAAAGCCACAGTTTCCCTCCAGAATCTGCCCCTTACCCACTGACGAATGAGATGTCCCTTCTAAAAGCCTCACAGCATGTGGTATTTTGACTTGATAGTGTATTTACACCACATTTTCCTATATATTACCAAACTACAGCATGTTGAGAATAGATGTAGGAAACTTCTTAATTGTTCTAAGTATTAAGAGAGGTGATGGTATTATATAAAAATTATAACTTATATAAGTTTCTGTGAGCTAATTATTAATTTTCCACAGTTGAATACATAAATCTGGGAAAGGAGAGCTAAAAGAATTATTTACATGTTTTCCTGAAAACTTGTTTCCTGGTTTTGGCCTCACCGTTTTATCACTTCTAATTAAAA